CATATGTAGTTTATTAAGAATGTTTCAGGTTTAAAGGTTCTATATTACACAGAACTGACGTTTTGTGAGCTTTTAGTTGTGTTTAGTTGTGTTTAACATTATTACCTTATCAAAAATATATCAAGAGTTAGGGTTGGGCAATAGGGGAAAAAAGAATCACGATCTTCTTCAGTCTTATTAAAAACATAGACATGTAGACTTCATTCATAAAGAGTGGAATGTCAGGATCACTACAGTCTTTAGTTCGTGTTTGACAAATATTTCTGCAGAAATCCACATTTAAAGTTTGGACAGATACATTAAACCTAAATGCATAGACCGAAACACATCAACAGAAACACGTGCGATGTCTGTGCACTAAATTAGGACGTAACTTTCACTCATAAACAGCAAGAAAACAGTCGTTTACTTTCCATAACTTGGGTTATAAAAATGAGAAGCACCAGAGGAGAGAAAGAGGAGAAAAGGTGAGGAGAGGAGCAGGGGGAACGGTCAGACTGACGGCACTGTGCACACAGAGGGAGAGACACACGCAGAGGGAGAGACACACTGAACTTTTCAAATTATGCAGGTTTAAGTCAAAACTTGTGAACACGTGAGGAGACAAAGGGACACGCTGTGGCTCAAGCTGCTTTTTCCTAAACAAGAGAGTGGATCCTCGTCAGCACTATGCACTCTTACTGCCACATGATTGGCTCTTGACCTGTTGGTGAAAATGCACCTGCCTTATCATCAAGATTGACCAAAGTAGAGATCACAATCTATCAATCTTTCCATTTCTGGCACAGCCCTACCCAGAGCTGTGTTTTGCTTTCATTCACACATGTTTAAGTAATCCTTTATTATTAGTCTGTTTATATCTCCAAATTTCAAAATTCTCTGTTCCACCTTGTGATGTCATGCAGTGGTAGTTTTAAACAGCTGCCTTTTATCTTTAGTAAAGCTCAGTACTCTACTCTCTAGAGATTAATATCAACCAAATGATTCTAGTGAAGGTGTGTGCAGTTTAAAAACACAACAGAGCTCTTCCTTACCATGATGACATCACAAGGTGGAACAGAGTGTTTTCTGTTTGAGAGAAGACTAAAACCAAAACACTCCAGGTATGTAATAAGGTGCTAAGTCCAAATTATTTGTCCATGTTTTATTGAAGCTAATTAAGGTATGGTCATTATAAAAGTGTTATCAAAATGACTATTATTGCACAATATTCCTCAAGGAGACGTGATAGCACTTCTCGCGCTGCTACTAGTTAATCTTTTTTATTGATCATAAAAGTGACTGATTAATAGCATACTAATACCTTTGGTTTTGCATACACTAATGCTGCAACATCTACTCCTGAGGTGATCACAAGATGTTCAGAATGTCAAAAAAAAAAACTTCAAGATCAACAAAACTCAAAACATTGCATAAAGAACAGTTGAATATGAACTCAAACAGGATCTAATGAAAACAAACTAATAATAAATAACAAAACTGTAAGCATCAATTTTCCATAACTATCATCTCAACCACTATTCTACCCAGGGGCGGCACCACAGGGGTTTGAGGGGCTCTAACCTCCAGTAGAAAGGCCAATGCACCCCCATAGCTCCCTCAAAGATTTTTGTTTTAGTCTCGACGAATGTACAAAATTAGACTATAATTAAAAAATAATTCCATGTTAGGATTTATAAATCAGTACAGTGGTTAACTACATTTAAAATGATTTAAAGCAGCAAAACAAACTTGGTAGGGGGTGGTTGTGCGCTCACATCCATAAAAGGCTCTAAATTAGCGTGTTAAGTGTGAACCCCCCGATTCTACTGCTGACCAGGACACAGAGGAACCCTTCGTTTGTCTCCTTCTGTCTGTCATCGTAACTACAGTCTCCCTGATCCAGTTTGAGCGGCACAATCAATATCTTCTGCACAGCAACTGCAAAAACTTTTTAATCATTGTACGTGTTGAATGGTGATCTAGAATCCCTCAGCACACTCCAAAACAAAAGCTCAGCAGCACTCCTCTCTCCCACGTGACATTAGAACGCCAGTCCAGTGGTTTAAAAAGACATTCGGTCACGCTTCTGTGCCGTTATCTTTGGCAGTACACTGGGAACTTATTGGGAGTTAGACGCCCCTTAACAACAGTAGCTCAAAATAGCCTGCGGACTTTCACGGTCGGGCCCGTTTTTGAAGAGGTGTCAGGCAGGCTCACCCCGGGCCAGGACCTGTTATTTGGGTGCATGTATTTGAGGAAGGTGTGCGGTTTATGGGGAGCTAAGGCGGAGGGGTACCATTCTTCACATTCGGTGTCAGGAACAGTTTGGACAGTGGCAGGAGACAGAACGAAAGGCCAGCCAGGGGACGCATGGTGAGCCAAGACGCTACTCCAAGTTCTCCCATTTAGAGAACATAACATACTAGAATACACTTCACAATATTATGCAATGATCTAATATTAAAAGGGCTGCTCTTCTGTAATAAAGTATAATCTGCTTTGCCCCAGCACAAACATATTGGAAAAGCAGCTCTTGTTAAAATGATATTGTTGTGTGCTGTTGATTCTAAAGCATTTTTATTATCTGCAAACCAGGAAGTAAGGTTGGTGCGCTAGTTGTGGCAAAACTTCAGTCAGGCCTCTGAAAGTTGTGCAAGTGTGCATAAACTGTGATGATTAATTAGGATGACAGGGATTTTTAAAGAAGATAGAGAATAAGAAAACAAAAGATTACTACGATAAAGAGTCACATTAAAATAGAAGCCTAAAACATCAGTAGTTTTCTTTGTGACATGCAAATCACCTCCACAGCTGACTCACCATAATGAAGAAAACATTTCCAGACTTATTCTCAACTGGGGCATAAAAGAGGGGCCCTGTCCTGACAGCTGCACCCAGCTGTTAGACGTGTTACTCTGGGAAGTGTTACCAACTTGATAATGTGTTCCACAGTGCATTGTAGTGTGAATTATGCATAACAAGGGGCTTTAACATACACTATATATGACCACTGATCTGTAGCAACAACATTAATAAATTAATTAATTTAAAAAAATTATAATAAAATAATAATAATTATATATTTTATTGCATCTCCTAAACTGCAATCTGGTTAATGACATTATTCTAAACAGATTTACATCCAAAATTCTACATTCAAAACTACAAAATCTGAAAAAATGCTGAAATTGTACCAAGTTACACCAAAAGCACCAGGGCATCTGACATAAACCCAACTTGCATGTCAGACAGTGATACGCTCAAATTTACAATATGGCTTAATAGGTTGTTAGAGCGTCTTCTAATCCTGGCCCTGTGATTGGTCGCTTCCCGTTGGTGTGAGCAGGGGCCAATCAAAGGGAGCAGGAAGTCAGCGCTGCATCCTCAGCCCTGTGATCCTCGCGAGCTGCAAACTTTCCCCCTGTCAGATTAAGTGGGATTAGCTCAGTCCTGCCGTATGATGAACCCAACGCCTCATATGGTGACTTGAAACTTTCCGAAGATGGAGAGAAGAAAAAAAGAAAAAAACTCCCTGGTCAGGCAAATGCGTTACGGGCTTTGGAAGTCTTGATTAGAAGCTCGGGTATAATATGGCTTCTTAGTGAATATGCCAACATGTCAGCTTGCTAAACGGCAGTTGCAAACATACCAAAAGATGAAATACTTTATTGAAATTACTGTAAACTTCATGGTTTGCAACAGCAGAGGAAATTCCTATATTTAGCTTGACCTTTGACCTCACCTGTATTAACAAAATGCAGCATAATATTATCAGATTACAAGTCTTACATGAGAGCTAGTAAAAATACAGATAAGTTTTATTGGCTGAAGTATTTACAACATAATAGATTAATAGAGTAGAGATACAAACTTGATTATCCCCTCCTGGTTTGACCATTGCGAACGTCTGAATGCCCGCAAGAAAACAATAATTTCTATATTGAATCCTATCTTCTAATTTATCATGCATCAACAGACTTAGCTGACTTAGATGGAAGAATCTGATCTGAATCTTAATCACATCAAACGATTAAGAAAGCACCCAATTTGAGTCTTTTTTGCCTATACACTGCATGAACTCAATACAATTTGGCCTTGCACCATCCATTGTGTTCCTAAATTAGACCCCGGCTCTCCTCCTCACTCACATGCACACACTCTTATTGGTATTTATATCCATCCCCTGAGCTACTCACTGGGCTGTGAGCCATATCACTCTAAGACGACAGCAGAGCAGTCGCAGCACAAGTACTTAGGCCTATCCTAGTATTGTGTATGTGTGTACTATGGTAGAAAGGGGAGCTAGAAAAGGTGCTGGCTGATCTTGTGGAGGCCAAAAGTGGAAAGAATTTACTCCCTTATCAGCTTCGGAGTCACAAACAGGAGCCAAAAAACATGACAAGACCAGTGGTACAAACACTTTTTCTTTTCTCCCTCCCGAGGCATGGCTAAAGCATCCAATCTCACCTCTTTCTTGTCTATCTCTGCCACTGATAAAGGCCTATAATGAACTGGGGACCGCAACAGAGTCCCAAGACTGATGGTTTTATGGCCCTGGTCGGATCATCGCCCTCTGTGGACTTTCGGTGAGAAAAGGAACGCCACGGTTAGATGGGAAGGAAGCGGATAGGGAGGTAGGGAGAGAAAAAGAAAGCAGGATTCAAAGATTTAAGTTTTACACTGTAACCTTTGAGAGGCGTTTTGCAACATGGTACAGAGTTTACTATTCTGTCTGATGTATGCCGCGTTGCTTGAACCCGAACTGAAATAAATGTTTTGATAAGGGGGCCTAAAGTGGCGGCCAGGATCCAAACAAGGGACAAAGGTCTGCAAGCTCTTATCATTGCACTCTTATCTCCTCTTTTGTACTGAGGGCAATAAAAAGGAAAACTTGTTTGTAAACTGGCACTGGCTGGTATTTAACAATATGATAAATCAAAACATAAAAATTACACATTACACACATAAAGACACACATAAAAATACCAAAAATAAAGTAACATGCAAAGCAACCTTACCTCAAATAGATTGGACGCCTCGTTGCCATACTGCGAGGAAATGATCTCCGATTGGTCACTGTACCATTTGAGGCCACCCAAGAAACTGTCTGCATCTAAGTCACTGACGTCCAGCTCGGACAGGTCAAGTTCAGGGAGGTCAGGGCAGAGGGGCTGGTCTTCACCAACCAAGGCAGCGCACTGGGAAGCACATAAACCATACAAGCTTTTGAGCACATTTCATCAAGACAGGGTTACACAAACATCTTACTAATATCATGAAGACATCATGTATTTTACACTTTAACTGTTCTACCTGAAGAACGTACTGTGCACCCACAACATCTCCCCAACTCAGCGTCATGGTGCATGCCCTAAACGCTATTGCCTGTTGACATTTTCTAATTCACCAGCTACTTTCATGTTATTTAGCCAATGTGTGCCTGTACGAAGCAGCTGCTACCGTTCCCTCCCCTACGCAAATCATCGGCTCCGCTCGGGCTGAAAATGAAGAGCCAGAGTCCCGGAGGCAGAGGCATAACGGGATAACGTGGGAGGTGGCAACAAGTGCAGACAGCTTCAGGTGATAATAATAGACGCTCTTTTGGTGAGACGGGAGCCTTGGGGAAGATTTTGGTCTCAATCAGGCGTTTGGATGTGGCAAATTTGACAGTTTACGCCGCACTTTGGCAACTTTTAAGCCATTATCAAGCACAATTCACACCAGAGCTTTGGTTTTCACAGGCACACGCAGGACAACACGGGATGACAGGATTCATTTGTAACACGCTTTTTATTAGTTCGAGTACAAGCTGTAATAGCGAGACACATATACGACTGATATCCACTGGCAATGTAGCGAGGCATTTGGCTCATTGCGCGTGCAAGGGATGAGAGAGTAGCCGTGCCAAGTAGGCAAAACCGCTCAGACACCGGTGTCACACTTCATCTGTCCGCGGAATGGCATAAGCACGCGAGGCTCAGAGGAGAGGCAAATCCGCGTGAGTACGTCGCGTCTCTGTGTTTTAGTTTCCATTCCACAGAATATATGCCAAAACGCAAGATCAACGTAACGGCGTTAAAGAGTCTAACTGTCTTACACCCAATTATGTCCCCGGACTGCTTGAACTAATGAAATAGCGCCGCCAGACAGATGAGCGAGGCGAACACAGCAGCAGCGGCAGCAAAAGCGCATCTGTGATTTACGCACGCCTGGCACATACAAGCACTTGCTCCGAGAGAATATGAGTGCAGGAGAAACAATGATCTACGACTGCACTTTACAGACAGAATGCAAGAATTACGTTTGCAAAGTCGCACAGCCTCCTCCTCTGCCTTTACAGATGCACCTTACTTTTAATTATTTAAATGACGCTGCGTATTGCAAATGTGCAGTTTGTAAAGCAACACGAAAAGCAAAGTGAGTAGACGAATAAGTATCCTTTTGATGTGCGCCGTGATGGGAAAAGCTTTTACGCACAGGATACAGTGGGGATCGGCAATGGGATGGAGCGTTACGCTCTGCCTTCTGCCGGGGATGATGAACCGTATAAGGCTATACTGCTCCTGTGCACAGCCAAACATTGCTCCGTGCAAAGTGGACAAACGATGCTGCACATCAAAGGGATTGTTATCGTCGTCGTAAGTGGCAAGCCAAATACCTGACTTTGAGACATTTCAGTCATTTTTGGCACCGGTGCGCGTGGAAAGCTCAGAAATCCACTCAAAAACACAGAGAGATCCTATAGGAAGAGATAGTCCCAGCCCGTGCACGAAATATCATAACTACATCTGTAACTGAGAAGAAAAGCCGTCCCCTCCGCTTGTCATATTCCCGTGTTGCGTGTATATCTCCCGCATCCTCAACTCCTCAAATCCAGACGCGCACTAAGCAGCAGCAGCACAGCAGAGCGCAGATATAGCGAACCACTGTGAGGGAGAGTCAGCGCAGTCCAAGGATCCAATACGAAACAGTCCACACAGATACAGAGAAGTCGCTTTTTTTTTCTTACAAAGATGCTCTCACCTCTATTTCTCTCCACACCGAGTCCTGGTTACACCTGTCCCACGCCATCCAGACACTGAATGACGGTCCTTGCAAAAGGGTTAAAAAAGAAGAAAAAAGAAAGAAAAGTAAAAAAGAAATCCACACACGCTTCCCACTCGCTCGCACACAGGCGACTGCTGCCCCTCGCCGAGAATGAACCGAGGGCACCTGTCTTACAACTGCTTTCCATCACATGACAAAGCTATTAAAAGTAGGCAGGGGAGTGACTTGTGCGTGCACTACTCGCCGGTGACGCGCAGGGAGGGGGCGGGGCCTGGTCTGCTCGCATAGTAAAGAGCACACAGTAGAGAGATCCAGTGGAGGGATTTAAAGCGGACAGCGTTTGCCTTTGATATCAGCTGGTTTATCTGCGCGTAAAGGAAAATACACACGAGCTTAAGTGGGCTAAAGGTGTCCACTGCATGCGCCATAAGACCCAATGTAGCCAAAGCTTTTACCAGAGCTAAAAGAGTCCAAAACGCGCGCTCGGCTAGTCGATTATGAGTAGGTTAATAATGCAGATTTATTGTAGTCATGTAAATCGGTTTGGTCAGTTAGCTATTAGGCTAAACGGGACATTGTGGTCAGCGTAATTTGCCTAATGACGGATCTAATGGTTTTAACGATTTCGAAAACGGTGGGGAAAATACTCATTGCTAAGTCCCACAAACTGCGATTTATTTTCTGTCTATAAAGTCCCACACGATCAAGATCATGATATTTAAGCAGCTCAAAGTTTATTCGAAAATGTTTAGCGCGTGCGTAAAACAAAAGAGATTAACAGGCACTTGGCGAGCGCGTGTCATGAATTTGAAAGGGAGTAATGCCGTAAACGTATACAAATGTAAATGCACCGCTGCCCCTCTGTTTAGTGTGGATTTCTTAAAATGTCCCTGTTTGTCGTGGGTTAACTCAGAAGTGAAAGGTTGTGTTGAATATCAAAGAGAAGAAATTAGTTCTTTGTAAAGTTATTTTTTCGTTCATTCAGAGGCAACACAAGGGACAGGTGGCCACAACACCGGTGTATACAGTGTCAACAAAACGTGTATAGGCAACATTAACCCACTAAAATCAAAACACAAGGTTTGTGGACATGATAAATAAAGCTAGCTAGCAACAGAATGGAATGTTGTGTGAGAATTACAGTACCATTTTTAAAGAACAGCAAAGTCATAATAAACAGTGAATACAACACACCTCTGCCAAGGCACTGTCTTATAATGTTGATTTTTAAGTGCTTACACAACCAAAGCACTCGTTTTCTCATTTAGTGCAATGATAAAAGCTTTAATTTGTTTAAAATGGCAAAATTCATTATGCGCTGGCAACCAACATTTATAGAAATGTCTTCAGTGCTTAAATAAGTTCAACCTAATACATTTGTGTGAAATAAAAAGGCAAATACCTACAATTTATTTCCATAATAAACTCACTGACTTACTCTAAGCCAACACTATAGACTTGTAAGTCCATAAAATCCACTTACGCATGCAAGGAACAACTGTCCACTTAAATGACTGAAGCCCAAATGATCTCACTGAACACAAAACGCACAGAAAAACCTGTGAGACTGGTTCAGCAAATACTAGTTATACAGACTGGGTGCATCCATGCCAGTATATGCCCTTTGTGATAGTGAGACATTATGGATATGGGAAAGTAGCCATGCTTAGAGGTATCTCAGGGCATTTGCACTCCTAAAATCCATACATCTGTCATGTTTCCACACGGGCACCTCAAACGGAGCAGGTGGCGTGCTCAGTGACCTCACACAGCCCAGATGGACCAGTCGGCACATGCTGGAGTGTAGGGGCGACAGGGGAGGGACACGGAGCTCAATGGTACCTGGCTACCACTGTAATAAATATAAATAGAGTATGTAGTAAAAATGCATATGTCAAATTGGGTCAAGAGAGGAGCTACATGAAAATGATTACAGAAAACCAAAAACAGGGCATTGCAAGAAACTAAAAACAGAGCAGACCACCATTTTATAATAACTATAAAATTATAATTATCCACAATAAGAAAGCACAGAGACTTGATGAACAAACTGTTTATTAATTAAGAATGATTCAGACTTAATAACTACATAATTAAAGGTCCTATATTATGCAAATTTGACTAGTATAATGTTGTTACCTCATCAAAAACATACCCAGAGGTATGTTTGTTTCCTGCATTATTAGTCTGTCTACATCTCCAAAGTTCAAAATGCTCTGTGCCAGCTTCTGATGTCATGAAGTGGTAAATATAATATGTACTGTACTGTATGTGAACAGCAACCTTTTATCTTTTGTTCAATAGAGCAACTCCTGGGCTGAAATGATCCAAATGATTCTAAGGAAGGTGTATGGAGTTTAAAAACACAGACCAGCACTTCTTGTGTTACCACATTTGAGAGAAGGAACTAAATATGGAGGGTTTGTGTTATAAACATGTGTGAATGAAACTAAATAGAACTCCAGGTGTGGTTTTGATAAGGAAACATTATAACATATACATCAGAAAATGCCTGAATCATTGATAATAAACTTGAGGTCTTAAAGAAGTGCAGTTATTACAAAGTGTTACCAGAATTGACTTTTATTGTTTATGGATAAGAACGTTGTTTGACTTCTATGAATATGATAAGAGCATTTCGAAGAATATGACAAAAGTTCTATTAGGTTGTTAGGAGGGGTCACATCAAGTCCATGCTTCTGAGTATACGCAGTGGTTTCCACTGTACTTTCATTCTGCATAATTAAAACAGAGCTATATTAAAACTGGTACAAAGAATACATGATGTTGGATAATATTGGGGTATGATTGAGAAAACATGTTTTAATTCGCATATAATCCAAATATTCTTAACTGTAGATTTTCATATCCTCCAAAATTTGTAAGCACAATTCTTAAAATAAAAACATTTCTGGTACATTCTGTTATAAAAGCAAGTGAGTCACAGTCAAAAGCCTTATCAGATTGTACTGTTCATGCCAATTAAGACGACACAAGCTAAATATAGACATAATGTTATGATTCCCTTTGCTCAATGGCCTTTGATTCTCTTTTTCTGCAACACTAGCTAGAGGCTGGATATTTATGTATGCACTGTTGGAGATTTGTAGATACAGGCATTATTTCAAAAAGTGGGGGCTCGGCAGCGCAGGTAATCTTTGAAATGCCAGAGCTTTTTGTTTCACTTGCAGAAAGCTGATAATGAATGGCTAAGTATGAGGAGATTGCGACACGAAGGGCAGAATAAAAACAGGTATAATGTAGAGGGGGAGAAGCCATGGCGGCATATCGCTTCATTCTGCTTCATGAGATAGCCCGGGGTCCTGTCTTCACACTGTCCTTGCATTTAAGCGTTCATATATATATATATATATTGTATGTCACTTCTCTGGGGGTTTAAGCTATAGGATGGGGTGTGAAAAGTTGCTTGCACCTTTTTGATGGAGAGCATGTTGACATGTGACAGCCACTTTAGAGGGTTGAGTAAAGCACAAGATTATAAAAGCCAATGAGGAAATGTAAAAATAGAGTAGCTATGACCCTTAAAGGGACAGTCCAGAATTTTGGACAAAGGACTCAATTTCCTAGTGAGCCAGAATGTTGGAGACGTGTGGAGACACTTTTTTAAAAAATTTCATCCAGTCCTTGTATTTGCAGAGATCACTGGTGCTAGGCTAGTGCATGTCAATGGCCATAGTTAGCCTGCCACTAAAAACAGTCTTACCCACTCCACAAAGCACTCGAAGCAAATCTATTATTACACCAGGCTGTCAATGTGAATGTCTGTGTTGATAGAATAACGTTTGAAATAAAACTAACCTTGCATTGCATGAATCGTCGCATGTTGAGGGACTATTTTCTCATATATCAGTCCGCCGCTGCCAAACTTTCTCTCAGTAAGTACAACTCACTGCTGCTGCTCAGGCATAAATCCTTCAAATGCAAGGTTGGTTTTACTTCTGAAATTATTCTATTGACACAGACATTTACATTGATAGTCTGGCGTTATAATAGATTTACTTCAGGTGTTTTGTGGAGTGGGTAAGACTGTTTCTAGTGTCAGGCTAACTATGGCCATTGACATGCACTAGCCTAGCACCAGCGACCTCTGCAAATACATGGACTGGATGAAATATTTTAAAAAAGTGTCTCCACACGTCTTCAACACTCTGCATGACTAGGAAATGAGGTCCAAAATTCTGGACTGTCCCTTCAAACTGGCTACACTCTTCTTAATGTAAATAGAACCAAATATCTTGCCTCACGTCCAATTCTAAAGAATGAAAGCAAATGCACTTTCACCTAATTATATATTGTTTTTCTTTAGTCTGGAATGTTCTACAGTCATCTTTCTCCATGAGGACAAGCAGGTGACGTTCCCAGGCCAAGTCACAAGTAAGATCTATGAAGAGGCAATCCCATGAACGGCAAAAAATCATCTGTTTCAACGTTTTTAAGCAACAAATGTCCCTATATTTGAATAAATGTAGGGTTATACTTTTGGCTTTGTGTGGTAAATTATGCATACCTATTTATGTTAATGATCAGGGAGTTTCAAGGGAATGGGGAAGAGTGGGGAGGGGGGAAAAAAAAATCACAAAAAATAAATAAATCACAGTATCTCATAAGAAAGTGAAAGTAAAATTATCCAAGATCATCATCCTCAGCAGGTAGATTAGATGAATTCAACAGAACTCAATAAAAATGTCTTTGTTTCTGATTTGTATAGCTAATTATCATTACTTTTTTCTTAAATTAGGTACAAGATATGCGCTGATACCAGACAGCCGCTCTCCCTCACACTAAATGTAATTCAACTTTTTTGTACAATGCTTCTGGCATTTTTCAGAAAGCAAAGGGTCTTAATGATTAAAGCATTTCTCCCTGGAGTCATCCAACAAGTGCAGCTCTCCAAAGCCAAAACGGGGCTAATCCACAGATAATTATCTTTGTTTGAATATTCAACCTTAAGTCTCATATTTGCATTTCTGGCCCCGGTTTGAGAATGATACAACATTTCCTTTTAGTGACATCGAAATCATCTTGTTAAAACGGTCCCAGCGAATATAATACCATAAGTTTAATTGTGGCGTATTCTCGGTCTGGCAGTGGCAGTCCAGGCAGTC